CGATCGATTTGTATTGCAACGCCGATGCACATTTCTTGCTAATGAAATAACTACAAAGTATGCGCTTCGATATTGCACTTCTTCTTTATCGATGTTTTTTACGTCGCATTTTGTGTTTTTATATTGACAGCATTTTCTTGAAAACATCTAATAAATCCGATATTTTATTTTAAATACTAAATCGTGATTTTGGTTTAAGAATTCATACAACTTTCGTTTAGTAGCAGGACTGCACCAACGGATCAAGAAATTCATTATAACTAAAAAATTAAATATTCTTGGTACATTGGAAGTTTTTGGAAAACGGAAAAATAAATCAATGTAAAATTTTAAAAAAGTTTATGACAAATTACGTGGTAACCATAGTGTTTTTTTCAAAATTAGCAAATAGTCTTTGTATAACTTTTAAAATTTAAAAACGTTTGGCTTGTCAATGTTTTTTATTAGTCGTTGACTGGACATGGTATAGTAATTTTGACTTAAAATTGTATGTAGAATTTAATAATGAAAAAATATATGGGGGGTCCTATTTGAAATAACAAAGTTGATGTCACTTCCGGTTAAACCCCTGAATATATGCACATTAATCCACATTTTTATCCAATTTATTTGCTACTATAGTAGCAAATAAATTGGATAAAAATGTGGATTAATGTGTATTTTTACATCTAAAATATACTTTTTTTTAATATTTTGGTTTTTGGTATTTAATATTTTGAGAAACAATTTATAAATTTCATTTAAATAGGCTTGTTTTAGTTTTACCGAATGTACAGTTCAACTCAACTTGACAACCGTTCAATGTAACCTACAATAATTTAAACATAACCACAACTAGATTATAATTACATTTATAACTAGTTTAGTTTGTTTTAATCAATGCAACCAATTTTGGTTCCGTATTTACCAACCAAAACACTAAATTTGCAACGTTGCCGCAGTCCAGATAAAAAAAATAAACTTTATACATTTAAAAAAATACTTAAATTATAAATATACATAAATACTAAAGTTACTTATTTTTGTAACTCCAGTAGTTTGTGAAACGCCATTTAAGTTACGAGTTTAATTAAGCACGAGCGAAGCTTGCGAGCGAGTGTTTAATAAAGTTTATAAACGAGTTGCATATTATACTATATCTACGACGAACACAAAACAGAATTTAAAGTCAATTTTATATGTTAAAAATTGGACATCTGGATTTTTTACCAATTTATAATGACATACCTTCTACAACTTCTTTGTTCATACAGGGTGTCTCCAAATTCCATTCAAAAATTTGAAGCGCAAAATATAAAATATAAATAGTTACACAAAACCAAACATTTTCTTAAAATTGTCTTGTTTTAGACCCTTAAGTTAAATAAAATCTGAAACCAAAATATTTAAAATTTTGGAGAGAACCTAGTACGTAAAAAAAGAAAAATAATGCATGAGTAATGCGTTTTCTTTTATCATAATAAGTATTTGAATTTTGCTCTTAGAAAATTAATATTAATTTTACAAGTTGTGTGGTTTATGATGAAGATTATGAAATACATACACTGAAAGAAATATATGTTTGTTTTAGCAAATGTATGTGGTTCATATATGGACTACCACATACATTGCTAAAACAAACATATATTATATTTAGTTTTAACATAATATGTTAAAACTAAATATAAAAATGGTTAAGGTAAATATATTTTATGTTTCATATATAGACTACCACATACATTGCTAAAACAAACATATATTTCTTTCAGTGTATTAAATGGAACCAAATATGGACTCATTTTCTAATAAGAATGTTAGGAAATTACAACAACATTCTAGAGATCACTTGAATTAAATAGGATTTAAATAAATTTCAAAATTGTGACATAAAAATGTTACAATAGCAGAGCTATAAATCCATGGGTTTATTTTGATTGATTCTATTTCGATCGTGTAAAGTGGTACGTATAGAAGTACCCATTGTATAATGTTTTTTCAAGGATTTTTCAACTAAAGCCCAATTCATATACAGAAACATCGAAAACAGACTATATGTTTATAGTACCTAAGTTAAAAATTTATTTATCTATTATTATGTATTATTTTTGGTAAAAATTTCTGTTAGTGGCGCCAATTATTATATGAGTTATCTCAAAAATCGTATAGGTACTTATGAGGATATTAATCTATTAGATTATACCGATAAAACTAAATAAAATACTAGGAAATTAAAACAAATTACCTAACCTATAACTATACAATTTAAAATAAATAAGTACACATTCGTAATTTTATTTTTCCCAAGGAAACATTATGATGACGAATGTAAACGATTTGAAAAAATTGTATAGACCTTTGCAATTTCCTTATCAGCAGCGCATATTTAGACGATTGGGTATCAAAGGAGCATCTTTATTTTAAAGATAAATTAGTTCCATTTATAGAACCGTAAAAATAGTCACTTTAAAAATTTTAACTACTTATAGTTATAATTATCTCTACCTATAAGTATTTTTGTAATATGGTGAATATTTCGTCGTTTTGACTGGGAAAATTAATGAACCTTTATAAATAACTAAAATGCTTAACATTTTAAATCAACGGTTATCTATTTAATTTGGTCATTTTAAATAATTAATTAGGCATGGTTGTAGCACCTAATATAAATTCAGTTTAATTTAATTAACATACAATGCGGTTATTAAAGAAGATAAAATTGTATTTTTTTTGGCAAAAAATACAGATTTTATCTCGTCACAACATTTTACCTTCAACGAAAAGTTTATTTTTATACAACTTTTGGTTTTAATGTAAATATTATTTAACCAGTTTACAAGTGAATTTTACAAGAAAATATTGCAAGAACCTTATGTTTTACGTTTTAAATTGAATATTCGCATCTTTAGTATGTACTTTACCGCATTTTAGACCGAATACATTGATTTAAGGAACTATGAACATACACTGAAAGAAATATATACTAAAGTTAAATAAAAAAATAATTAGGGCAAATATATTTTATGTTTCATATTTGGACTACCACATACATTGCTAAAACAAATATATTCGTTTGGTTAGCAGCCTATTGCTGCCCTAGCAATATAAATGTGTTTCTAGCAATATTTTTTTGCTGTAATTCACTTATAGTTTACATTTTATAGTAAGGGTAAGTTTATTTTTATTTAGATCTAACATATCTTCTTTACAATAAATGTATTACAAAATTTAACATACATTCATAATAAACAGTAGTATAAATGTGTAAAGCACTAGTATAAAATTTTTAGTATAAATTTGTGTTTACTTTTAGCAACAAATTTCTTTCAGTGTAACCTTAAAAAATATGTTAAATATAAACGTTTTAGCATTTATTAGATAATAGTTTAAAGATTATTCTTTAATGATGTTTTAACAGAAATTTACAAAGTTAATATTTTTAAACTCAAAACAATTGATAGTCAAAAATATTTTAAATATAAAATACAACTGTAAAACTTTAAGCTTAAAAATATTTATTTTTAAAAGTAAAATATTTTCTACAAAATTATCGGTTTAAATTTGTAAAGTCATTTAAATGATAGTCAATAAATTTTTACATAAATAATATATATACAATAAATACATAAATTTTTTGAATTAAAAATTTATCGATTATCATTTAAATGACTTCACAAATTTAAACCAAAACTTTTTATTTTTTACAATTTTAAATTGATACGTTTAACACAAAATTTATAAATTAACATTTAAACGTAAGTCGATAATTTTTAATTTACAAGGTGTAAACGCAGCTTTAGCAGACATAGTTCATAGTCGGTGAAACGTACAAAGCGCGAAGTTTGCAGCCTATGCAGTCAGCTAAAGCAGCGTTTACACTTTGTGAATTAAAATTATCGACTACATTTAAATGTAATGTGAATATTAATAATCGATTACATTTAAATGTAATGTGAATATGTTTGTGTTAAAAATGTATCAATTTAAATTTGTTAAAAATAAAAGATATTGGTTTAAATTTCTCAAGAGTCATTTAAATGAATCTTTATAAATTTAAATCAATAATTTTGTAGAATGAAATATTAAAATTACAATTTTTAAAAAGCAATATTTTAAACGTAAACTTTAACATTTGCATTTTATATTTAAAAAAAATTATCTACTCCTACATTGACGAGCTGTGACTTTATGGCGTTTTAGTTACGTGCTCAAGTTAACAACAGTGGCTTTTGGGCATTTTAGTCACATGCTGAAGTTAGCTTTATTATAAATTGGGAAAAAGTCAGGTTAAATTAAGGTGACAGTTCACAGATTTTAATTTTTTAATTTTAATTTTAACAAATAAAATTGGCTTTAAATTCTGTATTGTGTTCGTCGTAGAAAAAGTATAGTATGCAGCTCGTTTATAAAACTTGATACATAATATACTATTTTGATTCTCAATTGTGTTTAAAAAAACTTAACTTTTTAAACTATTTTGGAAAAAAATGTTTTATATGTGCTTTTATTTTAAATGTGTCGAAACTATTTTTAAATACTAAAAATTTTAACTTTTAATCTAAATAATTTTATAAAATATTTATTTAAGACTTAAAAAAATCTGCCCAAATAAATTGAGAAATAATTTTTAATAAAAAATGATACCTAGTTATAGTTATTTTTGCCAAAATTGATTGGAAATAATATTGCTTGATACAGAAGTGAACTGTTAGTAAATTTTGGATATCAATACATGATAGTTAAATATATTTTAAATTAATAAATGTAAACCTCAACAATTTTGAAGGTAAATTTTGGTTTTATTTCAATAAATATATGATGAATTTAAATAGAGGGTCATTTATCGATAAGAATGGTCAATATTACACACAATTTTTAATCTATTTGGGAGAGACCTAAATTATAAAGAGGCCTAATTTTCTTGTAATGTATTCTTGTAAAATTTCGTAAAACGCTTTGAACCAATAATAATAATTTGCATTAATCAGTGGATAGTAATGGTAATAGTAAAAGTGTGGACTTACTGAAATTGGGATTGGCAATTTTCCTGACAACCTTCAAAGTTTTCGATTTGACGTTCTTCTTTAGTAGTTCCGGGTCACTAAAAACCGTATAGATGTGCGCCCCGTTGTACTTGAGGAACAAGATGTACTCCTTGGAGGTTTTGATTTGCTCCCTGTGTTTTTTTCGCTCGTTGTGCGTCGTCTTGTGGAACGTGATGACTAACGCGTCGTCCACTGGCATCGTCGAATTGTTCTTGATGGTTTCGATTAGACGAAACGTGTAGGTACTGCCGTTGATTTGCCGGCTTTCTGCCTTCGCTAGCACCACGATTGGGGCTTCGTAGGTCTTCTTGGTGACGTCGTCTCCCGGCCTCCTCTTGAGGTTCCTCTTGTTCGGATGGTGCTGTTGCTGGGAGGACCTTTGGGGGCGCGTCACGATCGCGGGGGAGGGCGGATAGGGTCTCGGGGGGTAGGTTATAGCGTCTATTTGTGCCGTGGGTGTGTGTCGTAAAGTATGAGCTTGAGCTCTCAGGTGCCGCTGATGGCGGATTCTGTGGTGATAAGTCGGTGCACTTTGCGTTCTGTCCGTGGAAACAGATTGGTAGATCCTCGACGAGTCGAGGAAAAACCGTGCGGGTGAATTCCTTTTGCTTATGTCCGTCATCGCTAAATTATCTATGCGGAAACCAGAACAACTTAAAACTGCTAAAATCACTAGGAATATAAAACATACACATTTTTCGTACGATATTTTATACATGTCTAGCGCGGGTTGTCGAGATGATGACCGATGAGTACCTAGGTTGACTTCACGGCCCTGAAATCTTCGACCGATATATGAGGTTCAGGTGCCCATTCGATATTTCGATCGCCGTCTGGTGATGCCTCATCTTCCCAGCTACAAAGGCCGGACGAAACAGTTTCCCGTTTTCCCACAGACATCCCTTAATCACCAGCACATCATCACCAGCGAAACCAGCACCCAACACTCCAATAACATCGTACGCAACGTAACAACTACCAACCGCACTAACAACAACCGACTCGACTGAATGATCGATGATGAATAGATGAAGAGGAAAATCAAAGAAGAAAATCGCGGCGCGCCGGGAAAACTCGCACTCCGCCAGGTCTCGTGCTGGAGATCAGCAGCAGCAGCAGCAGCAGTAGTAGTAGTAGTAGTAGTAGAGTAGATATAGTTGAAGGTTGTTGAGGGAGGGCGATGTTTACCGCTGAGAAGTTCAAGCTACACTGAAGTCGTCCCCACCAACGAGCATCTGGCGGTCGACGCTCGTGTCGTCGTCGTCGTCGTCGTCGTCTGTTGCTGTGTGAGTGCGTGTGTGTGCGGCGACGGCGGACCCTTGAGGAGGACGTCCGTCGCTTCCACCGGAGAGGATTGCCGCAGACGCCGCGCATCGCACCGCAACAAACAACTTGCATGCACAAATCCAAATCTTATAAGAATTGCATTACACTTTCGTTAACTAAATTTAACTATTCAAATTAAGTGAAAAAATCAGGAAAATCATAATACAAAAATTATACTTAAAGCAAAAAAAAATAATTTCTGGTTTTAATTTTTATATTCACTATTAGTTTAAAAAATATGATTTTTTCACACTGTTTTAGTATTTTTTATGTTTTTCTCAGGTTAAAAATTAATTTAAAAATTTGAATCTTTGGGAGTACCTTCAGAAGGGTAAAAAAGTAAAAAAAAACCTCGTTTGAAAAAAAAAATATTAATTTTTCTCACCTTTATAGGATTTTTCTGATTTTCTTTTAATTTGTCGGGGCTAAAGTTAAAAATTAATTTAAAAATCTAAATCTCTGGCAGTGCCTTTAGAAGGGTCAAAAAGTAAGAAAAAACATCATTTGAAAAAGTTATGATTTTTTCCCTCTTTTTAAGATTTTTAACTAATTTTTTTTAAAGTGATGGGGGCTTAGGTTAAAAATTAATTTAAAAATCTGAATCTTTAGCAGGGTCAAAAAGTAAGAAAATATCAAACCTTGTTGAAAAAAAAATTATGTTTTTTTCTTACCTTTTTCTGATTTTCTGGTCGAGGCTCAGGTTAAAAATTAATTTAAAAATCTGAATCTTTGGCAGTGCCTTTAGAAGGGTCAAAAAGTAAGAAAAAACCTGGTTTAAAAAAATTATTATTTTTTCCCTCTTTCTAAGGATTTTTTCTGATTTTGTTTTGAAAAGTGGTGGGGGCTAAAGTTAAAAATTAATTTAAAAATCTGAATCTTTAAAAGTACCTTTAAAAGGGTCAAAACGTAAGAAAAAACCTCGTTTGAACAAAAAATTATAAATAAATAAATAAATAAATAAAAAAAAATTCTGAATTTTTTTTAAAAGTGGTCGGAGCTCAGGTTAAAAATTAATTTAAAAATCTAAATCTTTGGGACTACCTTCTATAGAAGGGTCAAAAAGTAAAACAAAACATTGCCTCTTTTTAAGGATTTTTCTGATATTTTAAAAGTGTTTGGGGCTCAGGTTAAAAATTAATTTAAAAATCTGAATCTTTGGCAGTGACTTTAGAAGAGTCAAAAAGTTAGAAAAAACCACGTTTGAAAAAAATAAGATTTTTTAAAAAGTATAAAATACTTTTTTAACGCCAATACCACTATGAAAACTTTATATGCATCTTTTGATTTTTCCGGTAGCAAACTAGATTTAACTGAAAGCATTAAAAATTTCGAGTAAAATACCCACAATTTTTTTAATATTTCAAGTATGACGCCAGATAAGTAGAAATTTAATCAATTGAACAAAATTTGCAACAAAATAACAATCCCTATTTTGGGATTCACATAATGAATTTAGGTTTAAATAAGTACATACTTATATTAAGTAGAGACCGGACGTTTAGGCACTTAAAAATTATAAAAGCCCCTAAAAAGGCATCCAGAAGAAGGAAAATGGGCGTAAACCCATTAATTAAAAAATTGTACTAAAAATTTTCAGAACACATTTTTCACGAAGAATTATTAATGAACTTTTAAAATTGACAATATACTTTTCGCCTATAATCCGGTCTCTAATAATAAGTAGATACTTATCTCTTGTTTTGTCTACTTAGTTAATTGGGATGTATATTTATTTAAATGAAAAGGTAAAATTCAATTTTATAATAGCGCTTTAAAAATAAAAAGTTAACAAATTTGTTTTAATATAAACTGTCAAAAAATGCATCTGTCATATTTGAATTGTTTTCTTTTTTTTTTAGTGTGTAATATATTTAATATCACACACCAACAGGGTTGGTGTGTGATATTAAATATCTAAAATACAGAAATACAGAACATAAATATGTAAAATTTACATCATCAATTTTTGAACAATGTGTTACCAAAATAAATATTTTTATCAGTAAAATAATAAAATAAAAATTTACCAAAAAATGTTGGTGGCATATCGAGTTAAGAAATACTGAAATTTCAGGCAGAAAAGTTAAATATTTTTTCATAACAAAAATGAAATTGAAAAAAATATATATTATTTTAGTAAAGTGTTCTGCAAATGAACAAAAAAAATTTGTTAACGACTCTTATAATGTCAAATTTATGTTCCGCATGAAATTTCGTGCTCAATATTTTGATAAAACTGAGTAGTTCCGCTGCTTACCGAAAAATCGGCAAAATTACTTGTACTTGAACTTAGGTATATATATAATATATAATATTTTAACTAAATTAAATAAAAAATAAAAATGTAAATGGGTCACTGTTTTGCCGAAATTGTGACTCAGATCGGATCAGTGTGTGAGTGGTCCGAAATTCGGCATTTAATTTTTATTGTTTGCACGTATCGTGTGAAAAATTCGCTGATAAAATTATGCATCCGATTGTTTTAATTAACGGGTTATATTTTAAATATAATGCAGCATCGTTATTTATATTGTAGCCGGTGAATTAATTAGAATAAAACCAGTGGCGGAGTCATAAAATTTACCTGACTTTACCATCCCAAATTAACAAGTGTACATCTGGGCCATTCCATGGACACCTGTTTCAACCGTCTCAATTAAAAATATTATGAAAATGATATTTAAAAGAAAATATATCATTTTTTCTACTACCACCTTTAAAACGCCCATTATCGTACATGTTTCTATGACACTAAGTGACCTTTTGTACTGACCTTTTGATTTAGTCGTAGTAGTGCAATTAACTAGATTTAACTGATAACTGAAAGCATAAAAAATTTTGCGTACAGTGCCCATAAAACATTCTCTTTTCTTACACAGAAAAATTTGACATTTTAACGCCGCGGCGGTAGATTCCCAAGTTAGAAATGCTAACGGGAATTCCAATAAATACAACTGTCACTTTTTGTGCCTTTAACATTTCTCGTATAAGAATTTTCAATACTTTGTGATAATATTTTGCAATTATAATAATATAAAAATCAAAGGATTAAATATTTTCTTAACATAATCATATTTTGAAGGTATTTTAATATTTTAAGTTTAATTAAAATAATAAAGGGCAATGTTAATGGTGAAAATTACGTCAAAAATGTTTATTGGGATGATTTCTTTATTTTCGTATATACGTAGATGTCGCTTTATACAAATATTTAGTTTAAATCATTTTTTGTCGTAAAAAAGTATAGTATGCAACTTGTTTACAAACTTTTCTAGGCACTCATTTAATTAAGCACTCGCTTTAAAGTTCGCTCTTGCCTACATTAAATTCATGACTAAAATGGCGTTTATTAAACTTAATACATAGTATACTATTATAGTATAAGAGCCCTTTTTAATTATTTAATCATAATAAATACTTCCTGGTTGTTTTTTAAGGAATTTTTTTGTATTATTATATAATACATAGTTGTAAGTAAGTAATAATTAAATAATTAAAAAAGGCTTTAATACAATATATACTATACATATATTATTATATTGGTGAGGTTTTTGGCATATGTTAAAATCGTCACTTCACAACAATAGGTTTAATTGTTAATTTGTTATTTTAAAGAACTTCTTTGGAAATTTTTCATATTCTTTTTTTGTGTCCGCCCCTGCACAAAACCGGAAATTTATAGACTAAAACGGAAATTACGATCGTTCAACAAGAGTCACAACAGTATTATAGTGACTTGCATTTTACGTTTTCATTTTCAATTCTTATTGTTTGGTCCGGGTGGTTGTCTCTACAAATTGTCAGTTTTAGACATACATACATTGAGAGAAATATGTTGCGTTTTGACCTTAGACGATGGAAGAGAGTGGACGCAAAATCAGATAGTTGGAAATGTTGGAAAGTGTGAACCAATTTCATGAATAATTTAATTATAAAAATGTATAAAAAAACGCATACCTATTTGTTTATGTACACTGAAAAAAGGTGCCCTTAAACTAAAGTAGTCAACTTTCTTGATAAAAAAAATATCAGCGACAAGAAACAATATTTTAGCATAAGGAGTATATATTGCTTGAAGAAAAAATTTCTTAGTGAAAGAAGTATAGTTCTCTTGAAAACAAATACAAAATCTCTTGAACGTTTCTTTTTTCAACACAGAGAAAAGTAATCTCTTGATTTAAGAAAATGCACTTATTTGAAACAGGTTTTCTTGTATGAAGTAAAATTTTCTTATTCGTAGTTGTTTACAATAAGAAAATACTATTATTTGGTTGTAAATCATAAGTTTTTTGAAAACAACTTATTGTTGTGATTAATTGTAAAGAAATATTTATTTAGAGCAATTAATTAAATTGTTTGGATGTAGGTTTTGTTTCTGTAAGTAAGCTTCTTCTAAACCTGAGATAAAAAGTCCACTAGATATTTACTTGTATTAACCAAATATCAGTTTAAAAAGTCAAATAAATCCAAGTTTTCCACTAAATAAATATCTTCTTGTAGATATCGAAATAAATAATTTATTTGAGCCAAGCCAAATATAGTAAAATCAAGAGATTACTTTTCTCTGTGAACCAAGTGAAAAGTGTTTTTGTTTATTATGGAAATTATTTATATTTACGCAATTCATCCAAGATGCAATTATCCCAATAGCATGTCAATATTCTAACAAAATCTGGCACACCGTTTGCGGCACACGTGTTTAGTACGTTTTGTATCATTGCAACTTGCAATTCGCCATTTTCTAGGGGCAGTGATATAATATTATAATTCTTTTATAGGTATTTATACGGTTGTGTTTTATGTACTTTCACAGTGGAGTTGGAATCATTAAAACTCTTTTTAAATAAATGAAATTTAATTAATTTGTTTAAAGTTTTTGAAGGTA